GAGTATTAGTCAAGTATTAGTAGAGTATTAGTAGAGTATTAGTAGAGTATTAGTAAAGTATTAGTAGAGTATTAGTAGAGTATTAGTAGAGTATTAGTAGAGTATTAGTAGAGTATTAGTAGAGCATTAGTAGAGTATTAGTAAAGTATTAGTAGAGTATTAGTAGAGTATTAGTAGAGTATTAGTAGAGTATTAGTAAAGTATTAGTAGAGTATTAGTGGAGTATTAGTAGAGTATTAGTAGAGTATTAGTGGAGTATTAGTAGACTGGTAGGGTCTGTTGAAGGACCAACACAATAAAGAGTTTGCAGATATTAAGCAGACAGTCTCGAATGAGAGTTAGTTGACATGTAGATGCAAAGATACTTACAGGTAAAAATCGAAAAATTTAAATATCGTGCAAAAGTTCATTTATTTCAGTAATTCAACTTAAAAGGTGAAACTAATATATTATATAGACTCATTACATGCAAAGTGAGATATTTCAAGCCTTTATTTGTTATAAGTTACAGCTTTTTCAAACTTTTCACAATATTCTAATTTTAAATTTGGGGTTTTCATAAGCTGTAAGCCATAATCATCAAAATTATAACAAATAAAGGCTTGAAATATCTCACTTTGCATGTAATGAGTCTATATAATATATTAGTTTCACCTTTTAAGTTGAATCACTGAAATAAATAAACTTTTGCACGATATTCAAATTTTTCGAGTTTCCCCTAACAAAATGTTCTAAAGGGACCATCAAAATAAAGTGTTACCTATTTTTCCCCCACTATGGAAGTTTGATTACCAACATTCTTTAAAACATCTTCTTTTATGTTCAACAGAATAAAGAAACGCATACAGGTTTGGAACAACACGAGGGCGAGTAAATGATGACAGATTTGTTTTATTTTCAAGTGAACTATCCCTTTAAAGACTGATTTCCACATGGAAAAAAGAGCACGACTTACTGAAATGAAATAGAAACATGTATCCAAGTTAGATTAACCTAGTATTCCATCAAATGTTGAGGAGACCAACTATCCAAACATCCAAATAACATCCAAGTGTCGCATGACTCCTTTCTTCAGCCGTGACAGAGGCTGTGAATAATTAGTGTCAGGAGTATGAGTGCTCGTGTCAGACCTCTCGGCTTGGACACAGATGGTGTTCTCCCCTGCAGACACACGGGTCACGTTAGCATAGCTAATCACTGTCAGAGACACTTCATATCTGCGCCTGCCAACACACACTTACCACACTGACACCAGCCGAGAACTCTCTCGCTGTCTTGTCATGTTTGGGGAAATTATTCTGACTGAATGGCGTTAAAGATGGTAATTGGTTGACTCTGAGGGCACACAAATAGAAACCTCACGCCGAGCTTAATCAAGCTTATTGAACTCGTACAAGAGTCTCCTTCCGACATTTTAAGGTATAGTCCATGCAAGACGATGATTCAGAAATCCTTTTCTCACCCTCACGTCACTCCAAAACTAAGCACCTTAAATCGTGTGTGTGTTACTAAAATAGCTTTGTGTGTGGAAATGTTCATTTGAAGTAATTAAAAATGTTCCCATTGCATGTGGCTCTCTAAAACATGCACACCTTTATGAAAAAGAAGTGCACTTAATCATTCTTAATATTCTTAAAGTATGTATATATAAATAAATCTGTGCTTGCAGATAAAATAATATGAAATAAAAGGCTATGGGGTCCTTCATTTCAGAGTCACACTCAGGACCTTCGGGTCCAAATGGGCCGGAAGGGTGGGATTAATATTTATTTAAAAAAAAATCATCTTTTTTTTTTTTTTACTTGTTTTTTATAATATTTTTTCTTTTCTTTTTTGGTGTTTTGAGATAATTTCAAAAATAAAAATGATTTATAATTAATATTAATGCAATAATTATGACCCATTTTTTTCCCCATTGAATATAATAGAATTTTTTTTTTTTTTTAAGCTGTATTTCATTTTAGAGTCAAGCCTAGGCCTCATGAAAGCATTTTTTTTAATGAGATGGATGCCATCTGGTGGACAAACTGAGCATTTTAAAAATTCAAAACCCATATGTAATCTGAATTTATTAGTGTGTATGTGTATAAAAGTGTGTTTGTGTGTGGATGTGTCTGTTTTGCACTCTTGATGTTTTATAGATTCACCCCTTCACTGTTGTGTGCTTTTTTTCTGGATCGTGGCTGATTTGTAGATTGTACGCACAAAAAAACTGTGTATTTTCACATTTTTGCCAATTTCCCATTCATTTCCTATGCGGGTCCATTTGGACCCGAAGGTCCTGAGTGTGACTATTTTTTTTACAACCACTTAGACTATTCAAATCCTGTCCCCAATTTTTTTGGGTGTTCATATACCAAGTACCAACAAAGTCACCAAATTTCGGACCATTCCGATAAAGCTATGATTTAAAAAAAAAAAAAAAAAATTGTTTAAATGCTTCGGGTCCATTTGGGCCGAAGGACCCCAGAGGGTTAAGTGTACTTAAAGGGAGTTAAAAGTCAAATTAAAAGTGTATTTTGTAATAATGTCAAATTAAATGTTTAGTACATTTTAAATCATTGTGTTTTAATAATATTTTGTCATGCTTAAAAGTACACTTATTTTGATGTATTGTCTACAATGTGACAAACTAGCTTTACAAGTGTACACAAGATTAAAAAGAAATTAAATGGAAGTATATTTCAATTTACCATAAATGCTTATCAGCACATTCTGCAGAACACTTTAAACATATTTCAAAGATAATAGATGGAATTATGAAATTACATATAAAGATGTACTTACTTAAGTGGGTAAAAAAGCACTGTAAAGTTCAGATAATTGCATTACTATAAAAAATTATTTAATTACAATTGACATGGAATTAACATGCAGTTAGTCACTTGCACTTTCAGAATATGTCAGCACATGCTTCATATGACCAACTTTAATTGCAATCTGATGCTCTTTTATCAGTTTTTTTGGAACAAAATGAGCGTGAGAACGTTGAAATATTCCTTTAAACCATTTGCACAAGCCTCAAGAACTTCTAAACCAATCCAGTGTTCCAGGCTGGCATCTCTGACCATAAAACTGGCATAAGCAGCTCCCCTCCCTCAACCTTTCTGAGTCTTAATCTACTTAAGAGACCAACCCCGCGTGTAAATCCATGCAAATGTGCACTGGGAATTGTGTGGAAAGCAAAATCACCATCCATGAGATAAAAACTGAATTTCTCGACACAAAATGCAGCGTCAGGCACAGAGGTATTACTGTATCACACTGACCGTAATATTTGACTGTGCATTTGATTCATTTGGTTCCTTTTTATTTCCGGAGAGGGCTAATCTACTCCTAGCGCCACGATGGATTCTCACGTCCTCTCGGTTTAATTGAGTTCCAGCTCTGCGCCAGAGTTTAGCCCATTAGCTTGTTTGTTACCCTCAGTGGATGCAGAGCAAAAAAAAAAAGAGAAGAGTTTTGTGCTAAAGGCAATATTTTTTCGTGGGCAATAATTAAAGGTCCTGGAAAGATTTGATTTCAAAGAGCCCAAGAAAGTGAGCCGGTGCGATGAGGAGTTACAAAATCAAGGCTAATACGGATTCTTTTCACGCTTCTCCCCGTTAGCGCTCCGACCCGACAGACTCCGCATTCGCTCGGGTTTAATTTCAGGGTGAACACCGGCGCTGGGAAATTGTGGCTGAGCACTGAGGCTAATGGGATGGGATGTTTTTAAGCTCTGACCTGATTGGGCGTCAGTGGCGTGTTGTGAATTTATGAAATGATGAGGCAAAGTCTCTTCCGTGTTTTTTTTTTTTTTTTAGTTCAATGCATATTTATGTTTTAATTTGATGTTTACACAGTGTTAATGGAACTGAGCATACTTAACGGAAATGGAAAATTGTGAAATGACAAGTGGGACACTTTTGGACATTATGGTCATAATCACTTAATTACGCAATTATATATACGGATGTATTTAAGTCCTACTTAAGTGGGTCAAAAACACTCTACAGCTCATTTGATTGCATGTAAACTAATACATTTTCCTTAAATTTTTTATTTAAAGTGTCCAAAAATATTATATTCATACACTCTAAAAAATGCTGGGTTCCCTTACAGAAAAACCACATGAGTTTCACATGTGCAAAAACACATGTGATCCCATGTGACAACGTGGACATGTGATTTTGCACATGTGAAATTTAACATGTGAAATATGTGGAACACATGTGCTTTGCACATGTTAAAGGTAATTTGCACATGGGAAACGTGTGGTTTTGGAACATTTTCATGTGAAACCCATGTATATTCCCATGTGAAACCCATGGGATTGCATGTGAAACCCATGTGATTACATGTGAAACCCATGGGATTGCATGTGAAACCCATGTGATTACATGTGAAACCCATGGGATGTGAAACCCATGTGAAACCCATGTGATTACATGTGAAACCCATGTGATTACATGTGAAACCCATGGGATTGCATGTGAAACCCATGTGATTACATGTGAAACCCATGGGATTGCATGTGAAACCCATGTGATTGCATGTGAAACCCATGTGATTACATGTGAAACCCATGGGATTGCATGTGAAACCCAAAATTCCCATGTGAAATCCATGAGCTTACATGTGAAACGTAAAATTCCCATGTGAAACATTTAATCACATGTGAAACCCATGAGATATCATGTGAAATGTAAAATATCTCATGTGAAACCCATAGAATGACATTTGAAACCCATCAACAATCCATGTTAAAGCTACACACCATGTAAACCTGTAACTTCATGTGAAATCCATGTAAAAATCATTAAGCAATATACCACAGAAAACGGTAGGCCTACCATGTTCTTGTGTAGGCTCTATAGCCTAATGTTTCCCAACATTAAAACAAATAATTCAAAAAAAATTTTTTTTCACTTTTTATTTCATTTCAAAATATGCAATACAAATTGAATGTTTAAAACAAACAAAGCAAAACCAAATTAAAATTATACATAAAAAGCCGCAAAAAACGCAGGTATACGCGCATGTGTGTGTGTGTGGTGTGCGTTTGTGAAAGTGTGTTGTCTCAGTCCTTTGTGTCTCCTGCAGCAGGCATCCTGTTTTGGGATAGAAAAAGATCAAAGATTAGGGCAGTGCAAACCATAGACTGTAAAAAAAAATATGGACGTAGTGTCCGTGACGTCACCCCGTAGGTTTCTGAAAAGCATTTTTATGGGGCTTAATAATTAATTATTATTCATTTGTAATGTTATTATGTCATTAAACGTTTTACGTAAATATGCTATGGAAATACATCTTGCTTAAACAACTGTATAAGACGAGTGGTGCGTCTCATTTATAAAAAAAACTATTGACAGTTTGTGATTAGATCACAATGTAGACTGAGGAATAAACTGAGTCATCAGTCCTCGCGCATGTCGGTTTCGCAAATGTGAACAGACCACATGGGGATCACACTTGGATGTTGGATCGTCTGAATATTACCTTTCTGCTCGTCTCCTCAGATCTTTTAACTTTTGTGCCATGCAGACCTTGATCTCAGTGCCTCCGATGCCTGGGTGCCTCTTTTTGACATGGTCTGTAAGAAATGAGATTGATTACATTAAAATTTGAAAACAAGTTTGACATGAAGTGACATAACTGTCAGATTCAAACTGTGCTTTCCGCGCTATGGCTGGCGCTGACGGACGCGCTCAGCGCTTGTCATATATAATAACTATTGATAAAAGATATTCAGACATGCTTACCAATTATTAGCTGCACCTTTTGTAGGTCAAGGCTCTTTTTTCACCAACAACCCCTTTTTTTCCGTTCATGCTGCCATCTCTTCGAAAGAGAAGATGGAGTCCATAAGAGTTCTGGTTAACTTTTTGTAACCCTTACATCTTTGAGCATGATCCAAAGCAACTGGGTTCATTAAGTCAGTCACAGACTTGTTCTGCAAAGCAAAAAATAAAATAAAAAATAGAACATTTTCGTCAGGACAGAAACCGTGATCTTTTCAACGTTATTGCATATTAGGTGAGGTTTTCACTTTGGAGCTGTGAGTGTAAATTTTAGCATACAAGTATTTATTGTTCATGCTCGAGTCTTGATACTCTTTTACCTTCATATTCCAGAGTTTAGGGGTAAAATGCGAGAAATCTCCTTTAGTGGACTTGGATATGCTGGGCACTACTCACTGATCTATATAAATGACTTGATTGCTCATGACGTCATGTAAATTGAAGTCACCATATTCTATTGAATTAATAGGAAATCATCTGACTTTAATGAGTAAACATGACCTAACGAGTCAGTGTTTTTTATATTTGAATTCTATACATTCTTACCATGTAAACATCCAAAACATTTCTGATTATTATCAATGTTGAAAACAGTTGTGCTGATTAATGTGTTTGTGTAAACCATTGTAACAGTTTAAACCATTTTTTCCCCTCCAGGATTCATTGTTAAATAGACCACAAACATATGAAGGGTAGTTTACACTAATGTTCAAACATTTGGGGTCAATGATAGATTTAAAAATGAACAGAAAAAAAAGAAGAAATTCATATTTTTACTCAGCAAGGATGCATTAAATTGATCAAAAGAGAGAGTAAGGATTTCTGTTTCAAATAAATGCTGTTATTTTAACCTTTCTATTCATCAAATAATCCTGAAAAACACAAAAATATGAAGCAGCACAACTGTTTTCAACACTGATAATAATCATAAATGTTTTTTTGAGCATCAAATCGTCATATTAGAATAATTTATGAAGGATGATGTGAAGCTGTGATGCTGAAAATTCAGCTTTGATCATAGGAAGTAATTGCATTTTACAATATATTCACATAGAAAACAGTTTTTATTTATTTATATTATTTCACAATATTATTGTTTTTAATGTTTTTTGGTGAACATAAGAGAAAGAGACATAAACATTTGTACCAAGACAATTAGTGTATGTTTGACATTAGTGTATGTTTGGCGTTTTACTTACTAATCATATGGTTCATCAATAGTGCTTTAGAGATGAAGATCAGCTCCACTCCGCTCCGTTGAAGGGCATCAGCACTGAAGGATCTAAGAACACAACAAGCCATTTGTCACTGAGCCAACAATGCAATGCCAGGTTTATTGAAAGGAAAGAAGCTACAGCAGAGGTGAAATGCAGAAAAGAGAAAGAATTTAAAGAATATACAGAATATAATTTCTTAACTAGGATAACAGAATTTGTTTTTGGGTTTACTTATTCATTTAATTTTGCTCATACGGTGTAACTTCGTTTGGATGTCAAAACCTTCTTAAAATAAACAATTTAAAAAAACAAATTGAGAAATAAAATGAGGTTATTTAATGAGCTTCCTCGGCTCACCTGTGTCCTAACGTTACTTCTCCGGCAGCAGCTTTCTCCAGAAATGTTGAAGTCGTGGAGCTTTCTCTCTGTTATGGGTTATTTTGTTACTACTGAAATCACAGAACATTTTTTAATCAAAATGTGTTTAACGTTACCATTGAGCTAACGTTAGTTTCAGCCAATTTTCTTGCTCCTGAAAGTAACATCACCGATACGTTATGTTTACGTTTGTGTTAAATAAATTAGCTCACTTCCAAGTAAAACCTTTACAAAACCTCTCATCTACACATAAGAGGTGATTAAAAGCCCAAACTTTAATAAATAAAAGTTCAACCGAGTTAACATTACGTTAGCCTAGCTAGCTGCTACCTCTTCAGAAAACGGTTGAGATCCTAACGGACTTTTTCCGAAGACACTACACCATGTAAATTTTTAACAGAATCGTGTCAATTACAAGTAAGAGAAATGTCAAAAACAGTTGTGAGTATTATTCGTGTGATTTTAGAGACTAATCTCACCTGGAAAAAGCCGTGAAAAGTTTAAACAACATCGAGAGAGGGAGTTTTGTTGCTTACCAGTAGCAGTGGTCCCGCGCCGTTTCCATGGCAACTCTGCGCGCCGGCCGCTCCAGTGTTTGAAATACTCGAAAGTTCACGCGCACGGCATTGATTAAACCACGTCAAAATCATGCAGCACTTAAAATGAAAAGTTTAATATCCACTTTATTTTATTTGAAAACGTGCTTGCAGTAGCCTATTGATTATATCAAATATAATATACTGTTGATTATGTAAAATATATTTACAATATAGCTTTAGAAATGGTAAACAGTGTTGAAATAAAAGTATTGCAAAAACTCATTAAAAACTATACGTGTATATAAGTGTTAGTATATACACATGCATTATAAGCTTTATGTTCTATGCATTTTGTGTGAAAAAGGCTATTGAAGCTAAAAATGTACAGTATTTGTGACGTGGTAACATAATTCACATGTTAAAACCTATTACAACGTGCAAATATATTTCACATGAGCTCCACATTATTACCTATAACATGTTTTCCACATGTGCCACGTGTTCCATTAAGTTCACATGTGGTGACATGTTGTTCACATGTGGTCGAACATTACTGCATGTGGTGACATGTTGTTCACATGTGGTCGAACATTACTGCATGTGGTGACATGTTGTTCACATGTGGTGAAACATTGTTCACATGTGATGACATGTTGTTCATATGTGGTCACATGTGGGCATATGTGGTCACATGTGGTCACATGTGGGCACATGTGGAAAACATGTGATAACATGTGAAATTCATGTGTTTTTTCTGTAAGGGTTGTTTCAACCCAAATTTGGGTCAAATATGGACAAACCCAAATGTTTGGTTAAAAATGTAATTAAAAAATGTACAGTTGAAAGTGAAAGTTGAAGTTGGGTTAAAATTTAAAATTACATTTTCAACCCAACATTTGGGTTTGTCCATATTTGACCCAAATTTGGGTTGAAACAACCCAGCATTTTTTAGAGTGTATAATAAGTGGGACTACTCTTTTTAAAGTATGGCAAAGTGTGCTTATTTTTCACAAGATCAAACTTAAAGTCTGTCAGCATTGCTTCATATGAACTACTTTGTATTTGTATTATGATCTTTTAACACCATTTACATTAAACTATCAAAATAAACAAATACTATAATATTTGTTTAGTTTAGGGTCCGATTCTAACGATTAACTAGTTGCTTATAAGCATGTATATTAATAGGATATTGGTTGTTTATTAGTACATATACAGCACATATTAATGCCTTATTCTGCATGACCATATTCTCCATCCCTTAAATCTTATCGAATACCCAAACTTAACAACGAACGACCTTTCTAACTATTAATAAGCAGAAATTAGGAGTTTATTGAGGCAAAATACATAGTTAATAGTTATAGTGAGACCCTAAACTAAAGTGTGACCATAGTTTACATTATTATGCTATTTATTAAAACAAAATCAAGTTAAAAAGCATGTTTTGTTTTCTACTTTTCTGACCTTAAGTCACCGGATACTCATCAATACGGGTGTCATGACGGTCGATGGACAGAGAGGCGGAGGTCTAATTTTACTAAACAGGTCATTCGCAGATCAAGCTAATTTTGGTTTTAACATGTGGTTTACTTTGTAATTAGTTTGTCCATTTCCACTAGTTTGACTCATTCAGGCTGATTTGCAGACTGTTGTGAAATCTGCAAGGGTAATGAGCCAGTCTCAGTGTGATGGAGGCCTTCTCACCTGTGTTTCCGTGTGTATTCCCTCATTCACATTCACAGCACACACACTGCTCTCTCGGAAACATTCACTGCTGGATAGTGTCGATTCAGAAAAATAAGCTCTTAACGCTGTAAAGGCTGACATATGAAATAATCGTCATGCAGAATATGTCATTTGTTTGAAATGAAACCGTTTAGAAGAAACAAAATACACTCTATAAAATGCTGGGTTGTTTCAACACATGTTTGGGTCAAATTTGGACAAACCAAACCATTGGTTTGCATTTTTTAATTAAATGTTTAACTCAACTGTTTGGTTTGTCCATATTTGACCCAAACATGGGTTGAAACAATCCAGCATTTTTTTTTCTTCATTGTAGGTTACATTTTTAATCTATATAAATATATAATTTAAAGATGGTCAAACTTAAAACTTAAATAATGTGTGTGTATATATATATATATATATATATATATATATATATTGGACTTGTGTTCACCACAGACCTCATTTCAGGCATTTAACCAAAAACCCATTGACTTCAGGACGATGTAACAGGAAGTTGAAAAATAATAATTTATTTACAGGTTATATGATTCATTCCCGCAACACTCTATTGATTATTTCGTGGATGTCAGACTTTGATTCTTAAGGGGAAACCTCATCCTTCCCTTCCTACACTCTAAAAAATGCTGGGTTGTTTTAACCCAATTTTGGGTCAAATACGGACAAACCCAAACGTTGGGTTAAAAATGAAATTAAAAAATTGAACCCAATGGCTGGGTTTGTACATATTTGACCCAAAATTGGGTTAAAACAACCCAGCATTTTTTTTAGAGTGTAGTCCACTAGGTTTGGGAACAGATCTAACAGCGATACGTCAATGAAACACATGCGAGAAATCTATTAGGTCATGAGCAACCACAACAAGAGCTTTTGTTTGTGTGTGTCATTGGGTCAGTGCATTGCAAACCTCTGGTGTGTGTTTGTCCTCTCTTCCGGCCAGTGGAGGAGCTGTGTGTAACGTTCTGGAAGTGTGTTATCTCCATAGTGGGGTTGGTCCGGAAACTCTCTTTAAACCTCTGCATCAGGGCCTCTACGCTCTCTTGATCGGGGTCCATCGCTGAAACAAACACACACACACACACACACAAGCCTGTGAGACACACACCTCTGCTGAAAGGCGTTAGAGGGCAGCGCATGATTTACTACATGCTGAAAATGCTGTAGTCATGGTTATCTATTCCTGTGTAAAAAAAAAGCAAAAAAAGCAAAAAGAGAAGATAAATGAACATAAAGGGCGTGAGATGATTTACTCAGTAAACGGTTTGTCCTTAAAAGAGAAATGAGGACATATGAGTTATGCACAATCTCTAGAACTTCATTTATCCTATCTTTAACACACTCTCCTTTGCTGTCCACTGTCTTATCTCTCCACATCACCCCTTTGCTCTTCTCATGAACAGGCACGCTTTGATGCATTTTGGAGAGAAGGCTAAAAAGATGTGGAATCTGAAAAACTGCAGGTCACGAGGGAAGAGCATTTCCTCTTCAGCAGTTTGTAAAGGTTTTGTTCTCGCCATGAGAGTAAAAGTCGTAGTGTGCTATGATAATCCTGAGATGGTTTCCTCCTGAAGATTCAAAGTTCAGCAGTAACAATCCTTCAAACGTCCGAAATAAACTCTACAGTGGCAGTGAATTAATAGAAATACCTGGTCATTAGTATGTGGAGAGCCTTGACCGCGTCTTCTGACCCTTTCATTTCAAAACCAAGGCCACTGAGATGCTATAACTTCCAGTGGATGTCGGAACGTGGATAAAGGGATTTGTTCCCATTCGGTTTTTAGTGAAAGTGTGTTAAGAAACATAGTCATGAAAGTCTACTCTCTTTAAGTGCACTCAAGTGGCCTTTTATTTCATTAATATTATATTATCTGCAAGTACAGTTCTTTAAAAATATACTTTTAAGATTGGAAGTAGACCACAAGTGCACATTCAATACAACCAATTGCGTTTCTTTTTCCCTGCGACTGTTCCTTGGACGGACCCCATTCTACTAAAAGTGGACAGATTGCAAGCCTATATGCTTTATTTTGTAAATCTGTGTCGATTTAAACGGTTAAACCCATAGATCAAAAGGGGTTGTCCACATACTCTTGGATGTAAACCTTTATTTTGCATTATTTCAGGTTCAGCGAGTCACGCTATTAAGGTCATACTATTACTCTTACAATTCGACTAGAACCATGTGATGTTACAGGCCAAATGGAGAGTGACTTCCTTTTATTGACTTGCCAAAAAACGCAGCGCATCCGGCAGCCTTCACATGTGTGTGTGTTGTAGTTTATAGAGGGTCACGGCAAGATTTGAGTTAACGTCTCGGGCCCCCCGTTTGGAAATCAAGAGCACTTCCAGACGGGGGGCCAATGGAAAGATGGGCAAGGGTGGTGCGATGCTCACAGCCTGCAATGTTAGTATTATATTTCCAACTGGCAGTAAAACAGACTCCCTCAGGGGACACCGCTGACCCATCTGAACATGTTCTGGCCCATTTGCACCACAGCAGAGGCATAATATATAAAAATAAACTTCCCTCTTATTGTCTGCGCCAGGAGTGGGAGGAGAAGAAACAGAGAGATGGAGTGGGATGAGATGCCTCAAAAAGTCGCAAACAATTTATCTCCCACCTCCATTACAAAGACCCATCGCTACTCCCAACGGCCGGTGCTGCATCACAACTTCAATTAACTTGAGATATGTAGAGGGCCGCTCTCTCGGCACAGTCGTAATGGCTCTGGACAGGGGCGATTTCCCCCCGTACCGTGAGGCTTTATGTTGAAGGCCCCCTGACGGAGAAGTTCGCAGATGGATGAAGCCGTGGTCCCTGGAGTGAGCGACTGGTTATGTGTTTTGCTGGGTTTCAATGGTGTGTGCCATTCTGTCTAATCAGCAGCTGCTTGTTTAATATAAGTGTCACACTCATGTGTGGAAACTGTCCACAAGACACAAGATCAGTGTGGAAAACAATCGTATCACTGCCAGTGCCGGATTATCCATTGACTGGATTGGGCGAGTGCCCTGGGGAACCAAGTGATTAAGATAATGACTAGACCTTTAAAATATTTCATGTTTTGTATATTGTTTTGCTGGAAGAGATTCAGATACAAAATGAACAGTTAATGAGACAATATATACAGAGAGAATAAAAAAAATATATGCATGTAGAGAATTGCGATTGGGTCAGGTCACAGTGTATTTGCCCCCTCCACCCAGTCAGAGTCGAGCCCGCCAATTTGTAATATTAAATTCAAAATGGATATGCAGCATCAGCTTAACGGTTACATTAAAAAAAGAGAAAATATCACGACACATGGCCACCTTTTAAAAAGTACCTGCAATATCAAAAATTTCATGCGGGAAGAGACATTTTGT